TTTTTTTTTTCCCGAGATGGCGCCCTATTCCCCAAACAGCCCTGCTATAAAAAAAAAATAAAAAAAAAATAAAAAAACCGAAAGAAAGAAAGAAAGAAAGGGCCCGCGAATCTAGCAAAGCAAAATGCGAGGCAGAGACAAACACTCCGCCGCCGGGGGCGTGGTCCCACCAGCAAAGAGGTTACGTATCGAATGCCCGAATGTGGACGAGTTTATGGAGATGTGCAGGAAATCGAGATGGAACTGATTTTCTGCATTTCTGCTTAAAACACATCCAGATTCAGGAGCTCGATCCTATCCCTTTTGTTAGTGGGACCTCGGCCCGGGGCGAGGTCCCGCTAGCAAAGAGGATTGGAGTGAACGCCCGAATGTGGACCCTTTTGTCGAGAGGTGGAGATAATGGAGATTCAATCAACTCCATCTCTGCATCTCCACAAGAAACACATCCAGATTCAGGAGGCTCACCGGATCCTCTTTGCTACGGTAGTGGCACCTCGCCCCCGAGCACGTTCCTCACGCCGGTTTTGGCTGAAACGAAATGAAAATAATAATGGATTTATATCGATAACTTCATTAATTTAGTTATTTGTTCGTTATCTCGTTATATGTATGGATGAATTTATTAATCTTTTTTATACACTTATTTTTTATGGATTAGTTTGTATATATGTCCGTTTTCTCGTCCCTCCGCCGAAAGGACCATGACCCTCGCCGCACTGCTCTCCACATGCACAAAAGACAAAAACGGATGGCAATGTATCTTTCCATCTTCTAGCGGTAGATTCCGTCTCCTTTTGCACATTTGGAGAGTAGTCCAGCCGTTGGAAGAAAGGCCTCGGAAAAAAAAAAAGAAAAAAAAAAAGAAAAAAAAAAAAGAAAGGCCTCGGCTTGATTCGTGCAGCGGCCCGCGGTGGGGAAACTGCCCTCCCCCTGTGGGGACGTCGTCCCACTACCTTAGGCAACGGACTCTGGATTTCAGGCCCGAATCGGGATGCGTTTCTCGACAGGTGCAGAAACGCGCGCGGTTGATCTGCTTCTCTGCATCGCTGCATTAAACACGTCCAGATTCGGGCGCCGGAGCTCAATCCTCTCGGCGGCAATACTTTTCTTTTCTTTTTTTTGTTTGCTGCAATACTTTTTCGCGAAGAAGGCGGTTGTCAGGCCACCGCCAGTGGTCCCCTGTCCCGACGGGTCCCACGACGTTCATTCCCACGTCGGTACGTCGACGGGTCCCTACGGGCCTAGCCGTTCCATTCCCCACATGTCCAACAACATGGGAATGTATCTCCCGGCGCGGCGAGCCACGGTCGTTTGAGCTGTACGGAGATCTTTACACGTGTGTTGTATTCGGGGCCGAGGTCCCACTAGCAAAAAGGATAGGATCGAGCTCCTGAATCTGGATGTGTGTTTAAGCACAGATGCAGAAAAGCAGTTCAATCTCGATTCCCTGCACATCTCCAAGATCTCGTCCAGATTCAGGCATTCGATCCGATCCTGTTTGCTAGTGGGACCTCGCCTAGCAGCGCGCTCTAGTAACTTCTTTTCTCTTTTTTTTGCATTTCGTGTGTCGTTCACGGCCGTCCGACCCTTCTGCCAGGTCTCGAAGTGCTACCGGTAGCTGAACTTGGTGTCCTGCCTATTGACCCTTCTCCCTCCATGCTACCGGTTGCAGGGCTTGATTCCCGCTCGCAGATGTTTCAAACCGACGGATATCTCCGACACCCGCCTTTTTTTTTGTTTTTTCAAAAGGTCGCCGCCCGCTTTTTCGTTCTGTTTTGTTTTTTTGGGAATGCCGCCCGCTTTTTCTAGCAATTCATATGATGGAGGTGCCAGAAGAAAATCCAAAAAAACACAATCCAGCTGCATGGCTGGCACGCGGGAGCTCGGACGCTGTAGGAAGGCGCGGATTTGTTTGTTCAGCTGCGGGGGGGGGGGGGGGGGGGGGGGGGGGGGGGGGGGGGGGGGGGGGGGGGGGGGGGGGGGGGGGGTTGAGCAGCGGCGGGGCGACGGGGTGAGCGAGGGAGAGCAGGGCCGTGGTCCCACTACCGAATGGGATAGGATAGAAATCCTGAATCCGGCTATGGTTTATGCAGAGATATTGACTTACGGTGAGGACAGGGTTGCGCAGCCCGTAGTTCGTTTGTTTATGTGGTTCGGGAAGGGTAAGGTAGTGATTATGCTGTATGTACGTTTTCTCATGTTCCGTATAGGGTCTCGCTGCACCACTCTACTTCGCGGAAATTCGGAGAGTTATGCATAGCTGCACTAACTCTACTTTAGAACCCCAAAAGAAATTCGGCGAGCTGTCAGAAACCACAAAAGAATTGTATTCTCCGACGCCGGAGAGTGCCCAGCCTGCAAAATCCGTTATGCGGATAGACCTTCGAAGGAACCACCGATTTGCTCCAAATCTGGAGAGTGAACCTTGAGTCTGGGCAGACAAACGGGGACTTTGAGCTGTCGTTTTGTACCCTCGATAGTTGTAGAGTCTGCGTTTGTAGAGTTAATGCAGCGATGACCCAAAATCCAGGAAATCGGAGAGTGGCAACTCTCCGCATACTCTCCGATTTCCCGGAGAGTGGAGAGTAGTGCAGCGAGACCCGTACACAACTCGAAGAGAGTGTGTGTGTAGGGTCCCGGTTGGTGCTTTATTCACGATGCTCATGAGACGCTGGACCCAGTTTCCAGCAGGTGGTGCTCCCCATCAATAGACAGGAGAATGTATGTGTGTGTGTGTGTGTGTGTGTGTGTATGTGTGTGTGTGTGTGTGTGTGTGTGTGTGTGTGT